CACTTGAAAGAATCTGAAATCCCAGAGGTCAAAACCACCACCTTGTAGATTCCCTACAGTCTACAAGGAGTAAGAAAAGGATCACATTATTATTTTTTTAAAGATAGCTTTATTTATGCACACAAGAACTGGGGTATAGGCCAGAGGTGCTGGAGGTAAGTGATTTTGTCAGAGACACGAGTGGGCAGAACAGGCAGATTGAGGAAGTACACTGCTGAGGGGAACAGCAGGCAGGTCAGAAGAGGTCTGCCGCGCCATGTGGGTCAGCTCCCTTGCCGCGGATCCAACTCATGCTGCAGTGGATTTGGCCTGGTGTCCTGCACAGGAGCTGGGTCCCCTGCGCAGATCTAGATTAGGCGTCCTGCCAAGGCCGGGCTCGTGTGTCCTCTGCCCCCGTCCCACCCAATCCCATCACCCCCCGAGACCTGCTTGTTCTGCTGACGTCTGCACCCAGGTCAGCACTTGAAGCTGCAGCAGGACTCCCGCTTCCCCACTCACACAGACCAGGAATGTGGACAGGGCCTCACAGGTGACTCCGGCAAATACGCACATGACAGAGGCCTCTGGGAGAAAAGGGAGCCCGGCCAGATCTGAGGCACCTGCTCCCCCGGTGACTGTGTCCAGGCTGAGTCAGGACCAGAGGAGAGAAAGAAGGGGACTGGGAAAGATCACGTGACTTCCCATGGGCCAGTGACCTAAAGACAAGGAAAGAGGAGAGCGACCCGCCTTCAGGCAAGACCATGGGACTAGAAGTGGACAGCTGCCTCCTGGGCAGGGTATTTCTTAGCAAACATCTTCTCCCACTGGGCAGGCCCCTGTGGAAAACACCGCCTGGAAGCTGCTCAAAGCCTCCGGTTTCCGGCTTCACGCTCCTCGCTACCAGCGGCGTGAAGACTGGCGGCACTGAGGAAGCTGGAGGCGGCCTGGGGGCCTCTGGCGGTATGTGGGCATCGGCTGCTGTGGGGTCTGCATCCGGCCTCTCCCAAGTTCTAGAACCATCCTAACTGGGGACAGTTAGAGTGGGCAGATATGGTGGATACGCCTGAGGAAGAGAGGCTGGAGGGCTGAGGGGCCCCCTGGTTCCAGGGTCTGTTCCCGGCTGAGCTATGCCTGTTTTAAGGCCCGGGTGTTGTTGGGGGCTGGCACCTTGGCGGTGCTTTGATTATTGCCATGTTGAATTTTCCTGGATCCCACGTTGGACCCCTGCCTCCCTCTGATTCCTAGATAGGCATCTCACTGGAAATCCGGCCCCCACTACAACCTCTCAGTCCACCAGCCTGCCTACCAGACCTCTGAGATAGGAGGCCCAGATGCCCAGGTCCAAGAATGCAGCTCCCAGAGCTTCCCCTAGAACACCACCAGATGGCGCCCCCTTGTGTTTGAGCAAGAGCTCAGAAGCTGATTCTAGACCTTCACAGAGCATGGAAGTGTGATCGGGTATAGGAAGCCCAGCCAGAGCAGAAAGACAGGTACCTCCGACCTTTTTGGCTTGGGCTTCCTCTGTCCCAGGCCCCTCTCTCTTGGAATGGGAGAGGAGGTGAAGGGATTTATTTGGAACCTGAGAGGGAAATGTCCTCCTGGGTTAGGGCATAGGGAATTGCATCACCGTGGGCTTCAGACAGAAGGATGCATCTGCCTCAGGCATGTGAGCACATGGGTCCTCCACACCTCAGCTATTCCTGTCTGAGCACACTCCCTATTTGTCTGCTCTGGTCTCGGGCCACCAAACTGGACCGAGTTCAGCTACTGACTTAATGTTGAGCCCTTGAAGCAGCTCTGTCCCCTCAACAGGCCCACCCAGTGTGGCCCAGGCACACCTAGCCAGCCTGAATGATAGGCAGTGAAATGCAGTGATAGAGCCAGTTCTCCTGACTTGAAATCCCAGATCTGTTGCTTCCTGTGTGGCTTTGGGTGCGTTCCTTGAACCTCTCTGTGGCTCTACTTATTAATATGCACAACAAAGATATGAATACCTACCTCATAAGGTTTTTGTGAGGTGTACATAATTTCGCTGCTTGCCCTTAAGACTCACACCTAGGGAGTTCTAGTACTCAGTGGAGGCTGCTGCTATTTGCCCTTGATTGACACTGACAGATCAGCACTGTTCTGGGTACAGGACAGCAGTGAAAAAAGAAAATATGAAATTTCTGTCCTCCCAGGACTTTTATTATATTCTTTGTAGGATGGCTAACAAAGGAGACTTTATTCTTCTGGTAAAGGCAGAAGTAAAGGAGAATGCTGATAAATACAGAAAAAGGGCCGGAGAGCATCAGAGAAGGAGGCCCTGGGGAAGGTGTAGATGTGGGAGCCAGCTGCCATGTTGTAAAAAGAGACAAGACCGGCCTCACAGTCCAGAAACACCCCCACAACCTGGGGCTGCTGGCTCAGATGAAGGGACGTTATGGGAGCAGTCAGTGCCATGCAGCCATTTGTCTTGCACATCCTCATGACCCAGAATCCAGATTCAGGATTCAGCCTCTTGAAAAGACTCCTGGACACATTTTGCAGGCAAACTCCTATGACACAGCCAGTTCCTTCTCCCACATCCACTTCAAAGTAATATCTCCCTAAGGTGAAGCTCTCACAGCCCAGGACACACGGGAACATACTAAATCTCTCAGAAGTTTTAGGCCTCATCTGGGGGCCTTCACAAGTCACTCGTCTCCAATTCTCAGACACAGCAAGGTCTTCATGAGCTGAATCTGGATCCAGAGTCACGCTGACTAAAAAATAAAAACAAAAACCAAAAAAGACATTTTCATACTGACAACAATTTATGTAAAGAAAACCAGCCTGTGTTCAAATGCAACCTTTGTTCTTCCCTGTATGAGTCCTTCTCTGAGCCTCAGTTTGTTAAAAATAAAGGAGAAATCACATCTGTCACAAAGAACGATGATGAAGAGATTTGAGTGTATTAATATACTCTCAGTTCTTGGAATAGGATGACCAGTAAATCATAATAAAAATAAAAGTCATCTTATCATCATTACTGTCACCACCGGTACCATCTTCATCTCTCAGAAAAGCCAAGGAGCAGAACGACTGAGAGTGGACAGACACTGTCCTCCCCAAAGGCCAGGCTCACCAAGGTAGGACAACTAGGAATCACGGCGATTACAGCAGACAAGCCCCTCCCATCTTCACTAACAAGCCCCACACCAACGGTCAGACAATAACACAACCAATGTCACAGCTTGTTCCTGAAGTTGCAGGATTTTCCCACGTGTCAGGACACATGCTGGCCTCGAGGCAGTGTTAGCTCTTCTGTCTTGCTTCAGCTTATGTTCCCAGGAGTTAGCATAAGAAAATCCATTGAATACCAATAGACATGAAAATGTATCTGTCTAGAGTCAAATGAAATAGAAGCTACGCTAAACTTAAATGTGATACTGACTAGTGGTGCAATACATTTTTTGAGATTTATTTATTTATGCATACAGAACTGGGGTATAGGCCAGAGGTACAGGAGCGGTGAGAGGATTCACCAGAGACAGAGTGGGGAGCAGAACAGGCAGACTGGCCAAAATACACTCTGAGGGGAACAGCGGGCGAGACAGGAGTGGTCTGCTGCACCACCAGCTGTAAAATATTAAATATGAATAGAGGTAAAGAAATTCTAGCAACAGAGTCAAACACCTGCTGTGTTACTGGATTAAAGACTGATCATCTGGACTTAGCAGTAAGAGAAATCAAGTGTGCAGGGGTGCTGCCTGCCCTGGGGGAGCTCCCCCCCCACTAGATGACCCCCTGTCCACTCTGTTCATCTCCAGGAAGGCTGACCGCTGTGGACACATCAACCAGGCTCCCTTCTCTCTGACTCATTGGCTTCAGTCAATGGGAAAGAGTGGACAAAGAGTTTGCTCCAGGCATTAGGAGTATACAAGAATTAGGTTAGAAACCAGTGATAAAATGAAAGGTCAGAAAATAAAATGCTTTTACATCATAATATGAAGATATATGCAACTGAATAATAAAAGCTACCTAAAGTTATATAACGAAACAAAGGGTCCATTTTCAGGAAAATTTATGGCATCTACATGTAAAAATCACTACACCACATAGCAAACTCAGATTAGAACAACAAAAGAGAAACAAAAGGAAAATTTTTAATAAGGAAGTCTAGAGCTTAAACAATAACCAATGAAATAAGAAAATATAATCAGAGAGGAACAAAAGTCACTCTTTTGCAAAGATTTATAGAAATAGACATACATCTCACAAGTTTTGTCTGAGGAGGAAAAGAGAAGGCAAAACTGAGTTGAATATAGGTATTTCAAAATTGCATCTTCAAGTTCAGAGATACTTTTTTGGTAGGTTTATATTAACTTGGGTAGAATCTCTATGTTTCACAATCCTTTATCCAAAAATCTTGGGGCGAAATGTTAATCTTCAGATTATTTTTCACATTACAAAGAACAGTCCATTCTAGATGATGTGCCCACCCTCAGCAGAGGCCACAACAGCCCTTCCCCAAAGGCATCAACACTCCTGTAGCAAGGAAGCCTAATACAGATGGTAAACAGAGTCACAGGAGGGCAATTTCGATCTGGTCACGGTGGAAGGAGGACGCAAGAACAGCTGCGTGTTCTTGGCCGCCTCATTTTCACAGCCTTGCAAAATCCCTGCCGTTTGACTGTGGGGGCATAACTTGAGAACAGCCTCTGCTCAATCACCTCTGACCGCTGGCAAAAATTATAGAATGTGCCCCATGGTTATTTCTCACTATGTGACTCCACAGTATTAGCTGCCTTACTTTAGAGACGCTCTTTCCTGAGCTCATTGGGAAATAATCAGCCATGTGCAAGTTGACGAACGGCGCCTTCCAGAAGCTGAGGGCACTTTCAGACAACAGCTGGTAGAAGTCAGGGCCTAAATCCTATAGCCATAAAGAAATGCATTCTGCCAACAACTGGAAGATTATTCCCAAACGATCCACCAGGTGAGCCTAGAACTGAACTGTGTGACCCCCGCTGAGGTGGGCTCAGATTTCTGACACATGATACTGAGAGATAAAATGAGATTTTTGCTTTAAGTCACTAAGTATTTGGCATTAATACATAATTAAACCCGCCATCAAATCTTTCCATTTAGATTTGCTTTACATTGTCTAAGCATTTGAGTGTTAAAACTATAGATAAGAAATGATGGAAATATAGCAAGCAGTGATTAAGACAATCCAGGGAGGGAACCAGATTTGCAATTGACAAAACACGGTTTCCTTATGATCGCAACATTCACCATGCTGTGTGGACTGAGGCCCTAAAAATATCTGTATCATAGTCGAGGAGCCTCACAGACCTTTCTGGCATTGTTCTCAGACTTGACTGCAAAATTAACAATGAACTTTCTATACCAGACACTGGTCTTCATCCTTAGTATTTAGGGGTGTCCACTGATTTCCATACCTTGGTAGCTCTTTAACATTTTCTTTACATTTAAGTAAAGCTCAGAAACATCACACACAGTGTTGGGTTCTATAGAGATTTCCTCTCCTAGTTCCAGCTTCACAGCCAAACTCCTAGAATCCAAAGAGGACAGAGACTGATGTGGGCATTCCATGAAGGCTTTATACTCCCACCTCCTCTCCCCGCACTCATACAGCACTTACCTGCTCAAGGTGTCTTTCACATCCTATGGAGAAACAAAGACAGAAGATGAGCCCTTGGGTTTGGCACGTGAAACAATAGTAGCTCTAAATGATGTGCCCACCCTCAGCATTCACTTATAAACACACCTTCCAAAGAAGTGAAGGCTTAGATACTGATAGAGGTCCAGGTCAGGTACCCATCCAGTGTCCTAGGGTGTCCAGCATGGCACTCAGTTTATCACCCTGGGCTCTTCCTGGTGGCGCAGTGGGTTAAAGCACAGCACTATGAAGCTATCTGTAGCCACTGCAGACCAGTTCAATCCCCGGCCAGGGAGGTGACCCACATGGTGTGGCAAATGTCTCCTGTCTTGCTTGCTGCTCCCCTCAGCAGTGTATTTCAGTACAACTGCCTGTTCTGCTCCCCACTCTTTCTCTGGTGAATCTCTTCACCCTCCACACCTCTGGCCTTTCGTGTGCATAAATAAATAAACCTTAAAAAAAAAGAGTTTATCACCCTGTGATTCTTATAACATTCTTGCAGTTGCCTGAAATCACGTCAGCCTATGGATTGCTGGGAGTGGACAGCTGGGCACTTCCTATGTGCCTTCTGGCAAGACCTGCTTTCAGAGACTAAATTCATTCAGAGGAATCCATATTAGAGCACGTTTATGGTCCTCAGAGCTGAGCCCACGCAGAGCTGCTGAGCCTAGGACACCAACGTGGTGGCAGTAGATGCTCCATGTTGGCAGAGAATGACTGAGACATTCTCAGTCTCACAGTTTAACTACAGCACCATCTGGCAGCTGGCAAAGCTGCTCCTGGTGTTTTCCTAATGGTCTTGAGCTTTCCTACATCTGAAAGAAGGCCTAGCAAGAGCTCCTGGATTACATGGTCTATAAGCACACACTTTTGCTTATCAGCATACATTTTTGCTATCCCACTTTTACACTAACAAGTCATATAAAATAGTCCATTGGGAGACATTTGACAAAGTTCTGTGCACATGGACAGCACAAAGGGTAGCAAGTTATTCCGTGGTTCCAATGCACAGGAACCTATCTATACCCAATAGGAGAATGTTTTTGAGTCAAGCACAGGCACCTTATAGATTTCTGGAAGCCACCTTGCATATACTGGTGTGTATCTAAAAGAAACACGACTTTAAGTTCCCCACAACAATGTACCCTGCAGTGAAGCAGTCAGGCCTTGCCCAGCTCCCGCTGCCTTACGATGTTCCTCTCAGGGGCCAGCGACAGACACCTCCTCGACAGCCCCTGCCAGCCTCACCTGCAGTAAATCCTGGTCTGAGTCCTGACATTTCTTCTCTAGTTCCAGGATGTGGCTCTGGAGTTCCTGGATCTGCTGTTTCAGACTGGCTTCATGGTCCTTCAGACTCCTCAGTGTCTCTTCTTCTTCCTTCTTCAGTCTCCACAGAAAAGCCTTCTCCTCTTCACAGAGAAACTTATAAAGATTCTTGAAATCAGACTGGATATTTTGCTTCTGAACATTTACCTTCTCCTAGAATCACAAAAGTGTGATCAGATCTGGGAATAAACCAAATGACATCTAAATGAAATGAGAACACAATGTGATACACACAATGGAAAGCGGTTGAACTCTGAGAAGGGAAGAAATTCTGATATATGCTGTGATGTGGGTGATCTTGAGGACATGATCGGTGAAGTAAGTCAGAAACAAAAGGCTATAGGAGGGACCTGATAAAATTTAAACACAGAAAGCAGAAGATGGTGCCAGTTGCAAGAGAGGAAAATGGGGAATTACTGTTTAGTGGGGTGAGGTTTCAAGCTGGAATGAGCTTATAGCTCTGCAGAGGGAGAGTGGATGTGACTGGACAACATGTGAAAGTAGTTAATGTAAAGTGTCCATTTTATGTTATGTTTATTTTAAAACCCATACACCTAAACAACAGTTCGCTTAGCTATGGTTGCACTGAGTCACTTGGGTGGGAAAATGCCCCATATTCCCTCTGCAGCCATACCTGGAACAGGTAGTAGGTGTGGAGGGCTATCATCAAGCTCCAGATGCCTGACTATGTTCCATCTTCTTCAGCCACAGCACAAGAGAAGGAAGTAGAGCATGCTAGACAATAGTCATTATGAAGCTAGGACTGAGGTCAGATGCTGAATTTTCATTTGGAATAGAAACAGTATATCTGGCCCTGAGCGATTTTTGTGAAGCAAAACTTGTCATGAATATAACCACAACTGGCCATTGACAACAGGGCACTAGCAGAGAGAGGTTGAGGCAGCAGGTTCAGTGATAGCTACCAGAACCCTCCTTATGTATAAGCCTGACAGAAACCAAATGATCTATCTTGGGGGCCTCACTTTTCATTTGGCAGACACAGACGAGCAATTTCCTATGGTGCTTTCTCAATTCATGCAGTGTTTTAAGACTGCAATGTCACTGATGAGGATGAAATGGAAATTTTATGAGGGGCAGCTCAAACTGTGGCATTAACATGGTTTCTCTAAATGTTTGTAACAATGGAAGCTTCCTTCACTACCTCAGGTCCATGAAACGAGGGAGGTATGATTGTCCTTTGGAAACAGACTGAGGGGCCCAGAGTCTGCAGTGGTCTGTGTATGTTCTTGCTGCAGCTCCGTCCTCACCAGCTTCATGAGCTGAGTAACAGCCTCACCTGGAGTAACCCTTTCTCAGTGCTCACAAAGGATGGTTTTGGAACTTGAAAATTTGAATGCCAGACCCTGCACCATGTTAAATGTGCCAATGTGATATGGCTGAGTCCTCCCACCAGGAAGTTGTATAAAAAAGTAGTTAAAGTTCAAGGTATTTACAACTTGAAATCCAGTCTAGGATGGTACATGGAAAAAAGATAAAAATTCTGCTTCTCTGAACGAACCCACCGGGCATCCTAGTCAACTACTGTCATAAGTAGAAAACTTGAAAATAAAAACATACAGACTTAGATACTAGGGAAATACAAACAAAGAGAGATTCTCTCTGTATTTCCTTCTTTTTCTGGTTTAGCAAGAGTAAGCCATTAGTGTGCTTTGCCCAAACATCCCCATTGTCTAGGCTCTATGATGGAAAATAATTTGTGATAAATCAACTCAAATTCTTACCTTCCATTTGCTCATTTGTGCTCTTACGGTCAACTTCATACCCTGACATCGAGATTCTAAAAACCTCAGGTTTGTCACAGATTTCCGGAGCTTTTCCTAAAAATTTTGGGTGAAAAATATATAGTCCATTATAATTTTGTAATGATATAAATTATGTAATTTTATACTTATAATTTTTTTTTTAATTCCAAAGTAGAATCCCCACTTCCATCACTATTACAATAACATTAAATATTGTTGAATCCTGACCCTCCCTGATGGCGTAGCGGGTTAAAGCACAGCACTGGGAAGCTAAAGCCACTTCAGCATAAGTTCAATTCCTGTCAGCCCCTTGAGGTGACCACATGGCACGGCAGACCTCTCCTGACCCGCCTGCTGCTCCCCTCAGCAGCGTACTTTGTCGGTCAGCCTGTTCTGCTTCCCACTCTGTCTCTGGTGAAGCCTTTCTCCCTCTGACCTGTACCCCAGTTCTGTAATGCATAAATAAATAAATCTTAAAAAAATATATTGTTGAATCCTTATACTTGACGACGAACATCCAGGACCGCCTGTGCAGTATTAAATCTGAGCCTTTGGCAACCCCAGGTAGTTGGCGAGATTTTGACCGTCATTTCTGAGCCGTAGAATCTGAGGCTTAGGAAGGGCTAAGTGAAATGCACCAGCCACCATTGCTGGTAAGTGGCTGAGCTGTGATTTCATCTCAGCAGCTGACCCAGAGTCAGCAGACTAAAAACCACAATTCTACCAGGGAAATGCTGTAGAAGGAACAAGCTAAAAACATTTATGTGAGAACTGTCTCCAAACTTCTACATATGTTAAGTTGTAGACTCTATTCTAGAAGCTCCCCTATATATCACTGCCGAACAGCTAGGCCTACTCACAACCCAAGTAAAGGGGACTCCAGGCATTCTTGTTTTGCTAATTTGCTTGCCCTATGGACTGCAAAACACCTACAAGGTGGGGTGACTCTGTTCCTGTTTTCAGGTCCTGTCACATGGCCTGCACATGTGGTATGCAGGGGTTTTTTCCCCCCTATTTTCCAAAAAAAGGGTCTCAAACATTTTGTAATTTTCATTTAAATTGTTAGGAGGCTTGGAGCTATTAGTTAATCTATCGTTCAATACACTGTCTAATAAAGCACTGAATAAATGATGCAAGTTGTCAATGGATGAGTGGTCAACTAATAGCTCTGCTAGTAACTGATTTATGTATTTTTCTTCAATGAAGTTACATAAACCAATGAAAAAAAAACACCCCATTTTCCCTATAGGGTGGTTTCCCAAATTACACACACAAGTGAAGATAAAAGAGGCTGGTGCGGGCTGAGTACACTGTAGGCTACATCAGGGGTCATCCCAGCAGAAAACAAGAACAAGATTTTGATCATCCATTAAACGTCAAGACAAGAAGTTAGATCTTGAGCACTCATCGTAAACCATTTGTCAGTACAGTGATAGGATGAAAGTCAGATTCAGAATCACCACATCTAGTTTCCGGGTAAAAGTTGTCAAGTCTGAGAGTGCAACATGAGAGCGGGTACTTGCTCAGACAACCCACTCACTCTGTAGCCTGGGCCTGCGTCCTGCACAAGCTCCGTGCTGTGGCCTCTGTGCCGGGGGGACCGCTCACAGCGCCAGCAGATGAGCTGCCCGTCGTCCTCACAGAACAGGTGCAGCTGCTCCCCGTGCTCCTCACACAGCCTCTCCAGCTCCAGCTGCTTGACCATTTGAATGAGGTTTTCCAGGTGCTTGTTAGGTCTAAGACTCTCCCTTTGAAATGGTGTCCGACACAGGGGACACTGGGGCTCCGTCAGGGATGACGTCAATTGTAGGTTCTCGAGGATGCTCTCTGTGCACCTGCGGCAGAAGCTGTGCCCACAGTCGATGCTCACGGGCTCCGTCATCAGCTCCAGGCAGATAGAGCACAAGGCTTCCTCCATCATCATCTTGGCAGCTGTGGCTGAGGCCATGGCTCTTCCTGAAGAGCTGCAAATCAGCTTTAGAAGCAGAGATGAAACAGACAGAGTTTTCCACAGTGAGAGACATATAAGTAAGCTGGGATTGGCATTTGGAATATGATACCATGTCACTGTGATAACTATCGCATATGGCCACCAAAATTTAAATTAATGACAATTAAAAGTAGTACTGGGGCCCTCCCTGGTGGCGCAACAAGTAAGGATACAGCACTGCCAGCTTAGGGCAGCCGCTTCAGTGCCAGTTTGATCCCTGGCCCCAGAGGTGACCCACATGGCACAGCAGACCTCTCCTGACCTGCCTGCTGCTTCCCTCAGCAGTGTACTTCACCATCTGCCTGTTTTGCTCCCCGCTCTGTCTCTGATGAGTCCTCTCACTGCCCCTGCACCTCTGGCTTGTACCCCTGTTCTGTATGCAGAAATAAATCTTAAAATAAAAAAATTTTTAAATTAACTTCTTTAAAAAAAGAAAAGTAGTACTGAGTTTCTCAGTCCTTAAGCAGTTTCAATTGTTTAATATCTATTTATACCTGGGGCTAACTGGTACCCTCCTTATAGAATATTGCATCACTGAAAGTCTTTTTGAACCAAGTATTAAAAGAGACAAAGAAGCAAGACAGGTTTAACTCACAAAGTTGTAGCAAGTGAGAGAGAACTCAGTGAGGGCCAGTGACATTCTTTCCATGGCTAATGAGGATTGAGAATAATTAGCGCCCACATTACTCTGTCTGAGGTAGTAACACTTAGGAAGTGGGTGATCCGTGAGGGATTCTAGAAACTATAACATTGGACTCTACTCATCCGCAAGCCCCCAGTTTTCTCTATAACCATCCCCACACCCAAAGAGAAAAATGCACCAGCTAATAAACTCTCATGGAGGTCCTACCAGGACGATAACAGAAACCAACAAGCCAGTGGGAAGAATCAGTGTGTGCTGTCATCCTCTCAGATGTCACTCTATCCCTTTTTTCTACTGAGTAATAATCAAGGGCATTATTCTTATTCTCGCCCCTCCCTTGGGGGGGCCAGATGAGTGAGAAACATGGCAACATCACAAGTTCCCTCCCAATGTCCAGGAACTGACCTTGAGTTAGTTTCATTTTTGAGTGTAGCAGTCAGAGCTACTTTGGAAGAGCTTGGGCAGAAAAAGGGTTGGCCTGAAAGTAGAAACCTCGAGGCCCACCAAGGCCACTGTTTCTTCTTCAGGCCACAACTTGTCTTCCCTAAGAAGGTTAGTCAGTGAGACAGGGGAAGAGACCAGACGCAGAGAAGTCCTCCCTCCCAGCACTGCTGCAGCAGCTTTAGAAACTAGTCCTATGCCACACCCTTCTTAAGCTGGCCTCTGGTGGCCAGAGCATGCAAGGCAGGAAACACAGTGATCTTTTCTTTGAATAACAGTGCTCTGAGTCAACTGGGATTCAACTGAAGTTAATGACTAAGCTCTTTACCTCCAGTAATTAGAACAGCTTTCTCCAGCCACAGGGATTTGCTTCTGGACATTCTATTCCATGGGAGGTTATTTCTCTCAAAGGAGAGGCTCCTCTCCCAGGTGTTCTATGCTCTTGAAGAGCAGGGCCCCTGCCTTGGCACCCTGGTACAGGGCCTGCCCTCACCTCACATCCTAGACTCTCTGAGATGTGGCAGGAGCCTGTGAAAGAGAAAGCAGCCAGGGCCAGGAAGCCAGAAAGCGAGTTCCAGGGGCTCACCCACTGCCACCCTCATCTCTCTCTCTCTTTCTCACACACACACACACACACAAACA